AGTTAGTTTAAATGATATGGGATGTCGGAGATGAGAGGGCGATCAATGAACTGTCCAGCCGATGTGATTCTTTAAATGATGAAATCATGTGAAGAAGTGAGCAAAAATTAAAATGGAGTGAATCCATTTCAATTTATTCATACTATCCAAGATCAGTATCATTTTTATATTCCATTAATTTTACACTATTCTAAGATGTCCATTTTATTTGACTTTACTACTTTTATACTTATCTCTACATATGGTAGATTTCAGTACTGTATACATCATGTATTCTAAAATGGTTTCTTTCACTTTGTAAAAACAAGTGCCTATTATTTTGTATTGTGTTATAATAAGTTGTGAAATAAAAAAATAGTTGAGGATGGAAATAATATAGTAATATATTTGTCAAGCCTTCTAATTTTAAGATATTATAAAAATATGTTTAATCACTATGTTACATCTATTAGGTTTATATATTTCTTTATATGGTTTGAGCACAGGGCATTTATTTTTTTGTTAAAGTTAAGCCTATTTGAATCCATTTGATTGCATGTTTGTAATATGAGATATGTACTATGCGAAGTTCAGATGAAGAACTCATTGATTTCAGTATTATACACACCTTTTAGGTGTGTAAGGAGGGACTGTTAGAAATTAAAATCAATGTTTTGATGGTATAATGTAGCTTAAACATACCGTCAGTTTAAACGCTCTTTTATACTGACAAAACAGAAATTCTTGTGCACAAGCAGTTAAGCTTTTATTCTGAAAATCCTTCATCTACGGTTAGCATTTAGCATGTGGCTAATATACGATTTCCTAAAGAGGTGAATTGAGTAGCGAAATGACATGGAGTGGTGCAAACCGAAACCTACTGATTTAACACAACAACTATAGATGTCGAGATACTACCATGCTGAATATTAAAGGAAAGTACAGTTTATTTGAATACATTATTGTTTACAGACGAGAGTAGCATGTGACAACATCCGGAAACCAAACCAGCCGTGAAGTATTTTCTGTATGTTTTAGAGTATTGATTACAGCGTTTAGAATGTGTTACATGAAAAGTGATGAAAGAGAATATGAGGAGAAAAGGCGTGTTAAGCATATGTTGAAGGTGAAAAGTACCAATCCTCTGTTTAAATGCAACAACGGACATTAGAGGCGAGGCGAGCCGGCTGGCGGGAGGAGCCAGCAGAGGATATATAACGGCACCGAACGGGGGATGGGCCTTCTCTTCTTGCTCAGGAGAGCCAGATCACAGCTGTTTTCTGCCGGAACAATATTCTGTCTGTAACACTACCGCGCCTTTTTTTAATTAAAGTATCCCATTTGAATCTTTTCAGAGACTCCATTTAGTCTCAATTTAAAGCTTCTCTCCTGGACGCGAGAATAAAGAACATATTTAACAGTGTTGATAGACATCAACACGTAATGAAATAAGACCCCACGGTTTGATGATTGATAGGTGTGTGGGCTGTCTTTCATTTTGACACACAGAACAATGTTATAATAAACATACATACACTGTACGTATGTTAAATGGATATATCCGCCTTCTTTCATTTATCTTTCCATTCCCACAACAATATAGGCCTACATAAAGAAATGGCATATTTCAGACATCCTAGTTTGAATGGTGATTAATCATGATTAATACATTTTTAAGCTGTGATTAATCTGATTTAAAATTTGTAATCGTTTGACAGCCCTAGTATATATATATATATCTATATATATATATATATATACATATATGTATGTATATTATATGTAGGCTATATAGCCTGTGTGTTGTATATTTATACCCACAAAGGAACAACCTTTGTTGTCAAAAAACAAATAACAAGTTGTATTGTAGTGTTTATTTTAGTGTTGTTTTATGCTTATCCACATTTTGATTTCAGAACACACGACAGGAGAACGCTGGGCACAAGATAAAGCTCAACAGTGAAGCTGGCAATGCTGAACAAAACCATCTAGAGTTATAATATTTATTCAGCTGAAAAAGTCAAAGCCCTACAAAAATGTAATAAAAATATATTGCACATAGTTGGTATTTAACAACAAGGGGTGTTATAGTCTGTGTTGTAGTGTGTGATATTGGTATTTATGGGAACATTTTACACCTTTCCTTCAAGTATTATACGTTTTAGTTACTTGTGGGCTACTTAACATGAATAATCACAGTTAGCCTACTATCCTTTTACTCCATCACATTTCAAAAAGAAATAGGCTTGTTATTTTAATTCCACCACAGTAATCCATCATCAGCTTTACTTTTTAGATAAAGATTTAACTCACAATTGATCATAACTCAAAATGCATATATTTTTATATTTTACCAAGTGGTTTCATGTACAACCCACACAAGTAGCCTATCATGCTAAATTAAGCTCTGTTGCTTGGATATCACTAGATCCTGTTACATTGTAATATAAAAGTACATAACGATTGATGTGTAAATTAGCATAATTACTAGCTAGCCGCTAGCTGCTAACTGCCGCGGCCGCCTCGTTAATATCAAACTCCATCATATAGCAATCCAGCACCATGCTGTCATGAACGTGCGATGCTGTTACGTGTACAAATTGACGTGCTTAATGTGAACGGGCATTTTGGGGGGCGTGGTTAAAGTTGTGCATGCTCTATGAGCACACATACGGGTACTTCTCAGGCATGATGGGTAATCTGTGATGTTTCGCTCTCAAAAATTTGGCCATTTTATCTTCATGCGCCAATGAGCAGCTCTCATAGGAATAGATGAGGCCCCGCCTCCCATGCTGTATCCAGTTCTTATTATACATCCATGCAGACTGCGTGATAACCGAGAGAAGAGGAACAGACTGCGTGATATTAACAAACAACAAATAGCGTGTGCGTTCCATTTTCACTCTACAACGAGAAGCTCATGGGGCTTTCCCAAACCTGTGTCGAGAGCTGGAGTTAAATGAAATCTCACATTTGCCTTCTTAATCGTTTGGTTTGGTCCCTCACTTCCGTTTCGCTTCTCATGCACTGATTCGCTAGCTGAACAGCCAATAAGAGTGATTTATTTTGCCGACTGCCTTTGGCCGACTGTCGGCGGGTTTTCGGCCTAAAAGGCTGAAAAGACCCGACGGTGCGGGACACACCAATCTGAGTAGGGCGTGTCGACGCTCATCGTCGGCCTGACGCCCACTGACGCTGATAATCGGCCTGGTGTGTCCGTGCCTTAAGAGTGACAGTTTAAAAAGTATGCAATTACATAATTCATTATCTCTAATGCGCTAACCTATTATTTAATGTGCTTCAAAAGGACATGAATATCGCCTTCATCAGTGACCGGTCCACCCCAGGATCTGACCATACGATGGCAACCATCGTGGTCGAGGGAAACAAATGAACGAGCAAGCATTCTGCGTTAAATGTGTTCATACTGTTTAAAATAAAAATAAAATCCCCACAATGCTTTGCGCACGGACCGATTTCCCCAAATCTGTGGCGGAAAATCTAAGGCGGGGCCTTTCATATGATGCACACTTGATCGCCTGTTCCACTCTTCCTTTTCCGAATGCCAGGAAGTATTCTTGCCTCGCTTCCGAAGCAAGACGCTCGGAAGACATGTGCTACCAAGCAAGCGTACTCGA